TCCCCTTCTTCTTTTTTATGTTTGTTACTCTCTTGTAACACCTCTAATCTTCTGGCGCTTATATGACATTATGCAGTTGCAAACTCTGTAAAACGTTTACTAAACAAATAAACATGATACAGGACGCTCTTTTAGCTGTGGTCTTCTGGTAGGAAATCTTACTTTTATTCACATGAGCATTTTTTGAGTATTTTAGATATTCACTTGTTCTAACTCATCCATTCATTCATTCTTTAAAAAAACAAACACCTCATCTCATCTCATCTCATTCATTCATTTATTCATTCTTTCCTTCATTCTTTTATTCATCTATCTATCTATTCCCACACTCATTCAAAAGTTTCCATGTACTAACTCTTGTACATTATCACTAATCCAACCTGTTAGTTACTGACCTATGAAAGAAAAACAAAAGAAAATACAATCTGAGAAAAAAGGAAAGAGACAGAAAGAGAAAAAAGAAAAAGAGAGAGAAAAAAGGAAAAGGACAGACAGACAGACAGACAGACAGACAGACAGACAGACAGAAGAAGGAGAGAAATAATGAGAGAGAGAGAGAGAGAGAGAGAGAGAGAGAGAGAGAGAGAGAGAGATAGAGAGAGAGAGACTTAAAGAGATAATCATATGAAAAATAACAGATAAACCAACCCTTCATATTATATCACAATCACTGAAAAAAACAACCCCGCAACCCCCCATAAAGAAAACAAAACAAAACAACATTCCGCCCGTCTCGCAGTGAAAAATTTTTTTTTTTAAAATGAAGAAGATAACAAAATAAGGCCAAAAACTCAACTATGTAGAGCCAGCAGCGCACAGATATCTATGGCGTCATTTCAGCGCATCGCAAAACTAAGTATACCTACGTACGTGCGTGTGTGCAGATCGCCGCTTCCTGTTCCTGCCCCTGAGTTCTGCCCCCTTGTGCCCCCGCGTCATTAGTTACAGTAACTCTTCGCAGATGGACGCGCGGAAATGGCGCCATGTTTGTGTTCTGAGGCTCTCTCTGTTTATCCCGCGGCCCGATTTTGAGATAGGCTTTACGAATTGTAAACATTATAAAATATCCCAGCTGGCCTAGTTATTATCTGGTCTAGGGGTTTTCTGACAAAACCCGTTATTCACGGGCCGTTCGTAGACGATTAGCGGTGTGTGTGTGTGTGTGTGTGTGTGTGTGTGTGTAACTCTGTGTGTGTGTGTGTGTGTGTGTGTGTGTGTGTGTGTGTGTGTGTGTGTGTGTTTGTATGTGCGTGTGTGTGTGTGTGAAGGAAGGTAGTAGAGGGGAGGCAAGTTTTGACGTAAGATAGAGGTTGGGGGGGGAGAGAAGGGAGAGAGAGAGAGAGAGGGAGAACGAGATGAGGAGGGAGAGAGAGAG